GGGGGGGGGTTGCGAGTAGCGAAGGGGCGAAGGGGCGAGAGGATCAAGAAGCTGTCAGGCGGGTCAGTCGAGATGCGGCGTATCGATGTGCAGCAGTCTGTCGGCCAACGTCCGCCCACGCCTGCCAAAAGGGCCAAACGAAAACGGCGCAGACAGATGGGGTGTGCGTGCGTGCGTGCGTTGTAGCGCGCGAAGGATAGCGGCGGCGGCGTGGGGCGTAACTCACGACTGTGACTGCAGGCCGGTCGGTCGGTCGAAAATCACACCCTCTCTCGCTCTGCTGCCGGGCGGAGAAACCAACAGCTGGAGGGAGAGCCGCTGCCCAGGAAGAACCGGCCAAGAGATCAGGGCCAGCCGTTGGCCTTGCCTCGAGAAAGGATCGTCGAGCGGCAGCGGGGCGAATTGGGATTGGCTAACGCGCCGCGCCCTCCTCTGCTGCTGCGGGCAAGCGAAGCGAAGAAATCCAATCCCAGAAGGCAGTGCGGCAGTTGCAAAGGCAGAGTCAGCTCGGCAACCGATACTGTGCGAAGCCATTCAAGGCCAATTAATGATTTCCCCCAAAATTTCGGCTTGGGTCGCCAGCTGCTGCCCTGATCACATCCGTGATCTGACCGACGCTCGCTTTCTTTTTCGAGATTTGTTGAACTTTTTGTTGGAACTTTTTCGGCTGGAAGCGTGTCGTGCGGACGGGTGCGTGTGCGTGTCCAAAGCGCCAAAGCGCGTTCGCGTGGGGGCGGAGGCGGAGGCGCAGCTCACAGCGGTTGGCCAGAGTGGGGCCACTTTGGCCCGTCACACACCCGCGCCAGCCTGAGTTACGTGTCGAAGGGCTGCAGGTCGCTGGAATTTGAATTGCCACCACTCTTGCACTGCCTATTTTCGGGGCGAAATATTGTCGCTTGCCCTTTCCTCTCAGGCTGCAACACACAGCCAGCGCCTTTGCTCCCGCCTTGATTGCGCAGAGCCGTTGACAGACAGCTGTCTGGGCTCACCCGAAGCGCAGGCACCACGCGAGCCAGTGCAGGCTCCCACAAAATCGAACAGGCAAGGGGCTTCTGAAACCGCAGCATTTTGCGCTTCCGGTCGAGCTTGGCCCGATGCCGGCTCGAAAAGGGCCTGCGCTTCGGCATTTCGCCGAGCCTTGTCGATTGATCCCGCAAACGCCGTACGAGAGCCAGCCGCCCAGCCTCCGCACAGCATGGACTCCATGTGGCGTGTTTGGCCATCCTTGCCGACCACAATCAGTCCACTTGCTATGCCGCACTCTCCGCACTCGACTCATTCACACACTGTCGAGCCATGCTACGTAGTCAAAAAGAGGTGGCGTGGATTTTTAAGGACGATCAGAGTGTGTCGTCATGTCATGCGTCGTATGCATCGACGTTGTTTTGGTGTGTTGAGAGATGCTTGCATCTTGTCGACGTCGGGCATCATCGACGGCCTGCCTTGCCTTTGCCCTTGCTCTTGCCCTTGGTCGAGGACGGTGTGGAGGAGCCGCCCTGAATGAAGCGCACGATCTCGTCGAGCGACTTGTTGGCATTGGCGGGGGCTCCGCCTGGCGCTGCACCCGCAATGGCGCCCGTCGTAGCGGCGCCGTTGGCAGTGGCGTTGGCGCCCACACGACGTGCGTTGGGCAGGCCGAACGCACCCTGTCGTGCCTCGCGCGCGCTCGCCTCCTTCTCCAGCTTGGCCACACGTACCGCCGAAGCGGCGAGGTTGAGGCAGAATGTCTCGCTCTCCTTGGTCTGCGCATCCTCCTTGCCCAGTCGCGCCTCGAACACGCGCCACGCTTCCTTCTCCACCGTCAGCGCCGTCTTGAGATCGCCCACCAGCGTGTGCGCCTGGCTCAGCTCGTGCGCCAGGTTCGCCGTGTGGATGCTGTCCGCGCCAAACAGCCGCAGCGCAAGCTGGTGTGCAGACTCGTACACCCGCAGACTCGCCTCGAACAGCTTGGCGTTCTGCAGCGTCAGCGCCACGTTCGACAGCACATTGATGCAGTCCGGGTGCTCCTGGCCGTACAACAGGCTCCACAGCTCCAGCACTCGGCGCTGGCACAGCAGCGACTCGCGCGTGTTGCCCGCAGAACGCTCCAGCACCGCCAAGTTCATGTACTGGTTGAGCGTCTCCGGGTGGTCCAGACCCAGCGTTCGCTCCGACACCGTCACCGCCTGCCTCTGGTAGCGCACCGCATTCGCCATGCTCACCTGCTCGTTCACAGCAGGCAGATCCGCCTCGCTCACCTCCTTGTTCTCGGCCTTGGCCTGGTTGAGGATCTCGGCGCGCTCCATCGCAGCAACGCCCGCAAGGTGGTGCACGATCGTGGCAAACAGCGCATAGCATCGAGCCACCTCTGGGTGCACCAGCCCGTACACCTGCTCGTGGAAGCTCACGCCCTCCAGCAGCAGCTCCAGCCCCAGATCGCGATCGCCGCGGCTGATCGACAGTCGGCCAGCGTCAAATGCCTCTTCGGCCAGCGTGCTCTTGGGCGTCGAGTCCTTGACGACCGGCACCAGGTTCAGCACGTCCGACGGCTCGAAGCTCGTGGTGCGAGCAGCCTGGATCGGCTTCTTGTCGGCCGAACCGGCCGTCTTCTTGCTGCCGTTCAGCTCGCCGTTGCTGCCCTTCTTCTTGTTCTTGTTCTTCTTGCCCGAGACACCCGCGCCGTTCTCCTTGGCATTGCCGTTGGCCTGCACTTCGCCGTGCGAGTCGTCAGACAGCGCACCGTCCGCCTCGACCGGCTTGCCTTCCAGAACGTAGTCCTGCAGCTTGAGCTGCACACCAGCGCGCAGCGCAACCTCACGCAGCAGCTGGGGTCGGCGCAGCTCCTGGTCAAAGAACGACAGAGGCAGCTCGAATCGGTAGCGCTTGCGGATCTCCTCGACAAGCTTCTGCTTGAGCGACTCGGGTGTGAGCTGGGTCCACTCGGCCTCGCTCGCATCCGAGAGCGGCGAGCTCGTGGGCTGCGACTGAGGTGCCGCGTTGACCTTGTCGCCGACAAGGCAGTTGAGGAAGTGCGACACGCACGCGGCCACGTTGACCTGCTCCACGTCGCGCACAAGGCCGCGCAGCACGCGCTTGCTCGCACGCAGCACCATCTCGTGCAGCACCGTGCTTCGGAAGGCGTGCAGGAAGCCCTCGTGGCCTGGGCCCGCCTTGCTGATGAGCTCCTGATCGAGCTCACTCTTGGCCTCGGGTGCGCACAGACGCGCAACGTAACCGAGGTAGCGGATGTTGATACCACGAGCGTGCATCTGTCGGCTGAGCGCGCCACCATCGGCGGCAGTGAAAAGACCCGCAGCCACGTCGGTCACGAAGCGAGGGATGGCCACCTTGCGCAGGAAGTCCGATGCCTGTCGCACGGCAGCGATACTCGCATCGCTCTCGTCGGTGATGGGCGTGATGACCTTGGAGCCATCTTCGACGCTTGGGTCGGCCACCTTGAACTCCACAAACGCATCCGGGTTGAAGGTCAGCTTGAACTCGGACGAGTCGAGGCGCTCGGGCTCCTCCTCGGCCTCTGCCTCGGCCTTGTCGGCGTCAGCGCCCTCCTCCTTGGCGTCCTCCTTGCCCTCGACAGCCTTGGCCTCGCTAGCCTTGGCTGCTTTGGCCTCCTGTCGCTCGGCAAGCTTGGCGCGAGCCCACTTTCGGAACTCGCTGTCCCAGTAGATCTCGAGCAATTCGGGGCGGAGCAGCGTCATGCGGTGCGGGTAGCGCGCCTTGTCGTCCGACGACGACGACGACTCGCTTCCGTGAATGGCGCCAGCAATGTCCTTTTCGAGCCAGTTGATGTCGACCGGGTTGAGACGCGCCAGGTCGAGGACGTAGCGACGACCGTCGGCGCCTCGAAGGCCCTTGGAGTCGACGCTGAGCCAGAGCGGATGGGTGCGGCCGTTGGCATCCTCGACGTCGTGCTCGCTCAGGTGGAGCGTCTGGGCGACCTGGCGGAAGAGCTTGTGGAAGGCAGCATTGTCGCGGATGACCTCGGGGCCTTCCACACCGCCGTACACCACCTGCGTGTCGTCGTTGAGGTCGCTGCGCGGAGACTTGGCAGCAGCAGCCTTGTCGTCCGTGGGGTTCTCAGCCTTGGGCTCTTCCTTTGCGGCCTCAGTTTCTTGAGCCGTGTTGGCATCGCCATCTTCGAGCTCGGCGTCGGCATCGTCTCGGCGTCGGAAGAGACCGGGGACGACGCTCTGTGCGACCCAGCGCTCGCCCTTCCAGTCGACGACGATGGTGCCGAGCAGGCAGAGGCCGGAGACGTCAAGGCTGTTGAGCGTCTTGACGCCCTGGATGTCCTTGCCGACGGCGACGTGGGCGGCCTCGTCGCCACCCATGTGAGGGTAGAGGTCAACGCCGTCGGCGCCCTTGGAGATGAAGAGGTTGTTGACAATGAACATCTGGGCGTCGCGCTTGTCCATGGGGTTCATGGCCTGCACCTCGCCAGCGGCCACCTTGGGGATGGCGCGTGCGGCGGCCTGGGTGAACTCGGAGTAGATGCGGTTGAGGACGCGGTCGCGCATGAGTCGCTCTGGGAGCGTGGTGCGAGGAAGCTCCCGGGCGGACTGCAGCTCGTCGTTCCAGTCGCGCGTGCCTTCGAGCGTGTCGGCGGAGGAGGCACCGGTGAGCAGGAAAGCGGTCTGGGAGCGGAGAGGGTCCGGGCTGTGCGGATGTTGGCGAGCGAGCCAGGGAATGGCGGGCAGCGAGTTGGTGACGGGGACGGCGGAGAAGTAGTCGCGCGACGATAGCGGGTCGTTGAAGAGCCTGGCGAAGCTTGCGAGGAAAAGGGGCGAGAAGCCGCAGAGGAGGTCAAAGAGCGAGCACGAGGCGAAGTCCTGGCCCGAAGCGCGCGGGCTAGGGTCGAAGCGAGCGCCCGAGGATTTGTTGACGTAGAAGCCGTGGGTGGAAGCGGTGATGAAGATGACCTCGCCCTCGAGGGTGCCAACCTGGAGATAGAGAAGGTGGCCATTGAGCTTGCAGTGCTGAGGAGGCGGGTTCCACGATGCGAGGGAGAGCTGGCGGAGGCACAGAGGCAGCTGACGAGGACGACGAGCGACGGCGGGGATGAGGTCGATGGCAGTCACCGCAGGCCAGCCGGCCCAGTCGATGAAGGGAAGCTGGGATTCGGTGGAGGCTGCTTCGGCGGTGGCATCGGCGCCCTTCTTGGAGGCGTTGCGGCCGTTTGCATTCTGGCGAGACGAGTCGTGCTGCCACTCTTCCGGATTCCTGACGGCATCCTGAACGCTGAGAGCCGCGTCGACACCGATGGCACTCGGATCGGCGGCACCACCGCTGAGTAGGTCGCGAAGGCGCTGGACGTGGGCGCGTGCATCGGCCTCGTTGAAGGGAACGTGGGTGACGTAGAGCTCGCGCTGGTCCTTGGGAACATCCTGGAAGACTTCGCGCAGCTCGGTCCACTCGGACACACGCTCACCCAGCGCCACCTTGGCGCCCTTGGCGGTGGGGGCAGCGCCTGGCTGAGGCTTGCGGAAGCAGAAGGCACCGAGCCAGTAGCCCTCGGGGCTGTCTGTGATGGTGACGCGGAGGTCGTTGAGCGTCTCCTGGGGCGTCACGGCCACCTTGAGCGGCGACGGAGTCTCGGGAAGACCATTTTGGGAGGCGGCGGCCGAGGGGATGAGGGGTCGCTTGGGGAGGTAGAGGTTGATGTCGAAGGGCTGGAGCGACTCGTCGACCTCCGGAACCTCGGCAGCGGGAGGCTGCGGCGGCTCCTCGGCGGGCTGCTCTTGGGCCATGTCGCTGGCTACGGCCGTGCGTATAACAAACGACGACGACGTAAAAAGAGCGAGGGCGATGGGTCGTCTTTGCTCTAGTGTGTTGGCGAGTCCAACGAGGGAATGAGAAGAGAAGAAGGAGGCGTCGAGTCGAGAGACTTGAGCCGGGGAAGTTCGGTGCGGTTGGGGACAAAGCAAGGCGATGTCGAGTCGACTGTGCGAAGGGTTGAGAAGCACTGGAGAGTCTCCGCCGAGTGCTGGTTGGTTGGCTGGTTTGGGCGCACGAGCTTCGTGCGCTCACTGTATCTTCCTGCCCGCCAGAAGCTCGCCCAAAGGCCAAAAAAAAAATGTGGTCAGCTGTCACCGGCCCGGCGAGAAAATCGGCAACGAAGCCTTCCCTTCCCCTCCCGCCAGTTGCCAGTTGCCATTGACAAGTCCCAGCCCACTTTGCTTTGCTCATTCAACGAGTTGCTTGGCCCACACCGCCACCTGTACGAGAGCACTTCGACAATCACCTTCTTGGTGTTGCTTTGCTAAAACTGTTGAGGCTCGTTGGATTTTTGAAGCCTTTTTTTT